CTGCCCATTCCTAAGTTTGGAGGTGGAAAGGGGGGGGGGGAGATGTGGGAATGGGAGAGTTTTTGGAGTGGCCTCGGGCATTCAATCTATTTAAGGAGTATTGACGACGCGTAAAAAATGTACTATTGCTCGAAGCTCTGACAGGAGAAGCAAGAGAATCACTCAAATAATTCGAAGTCAGCGGAATAACATAAGCTCTGGCAGTAGAACACCTCAAGAAAAAGTACGGAAACAAACAACTTCTCCTTCTACCATCGATCCGTCGAAACATGGGGCTTAGGCCGGGGAACGAACCCGGCCCGCCCGCGTGGCAGTTGAGCATTCTACCACTGATGTCAAGTCATCTACCAAGAAATCCTGATACAATAACCCGTCAACTATATCCTTATGCAGTCCCAGATACACCAACTGTCACAATCAAACAAAACTCTACACTCAACTCAATCAAATGCAACCTACCCTGTGTATTCAACTCAAATATGATAACTAATAAATCCATCTTATGCGAATAACGCTCAAGACCGTGATCCTCCGATGTAGAAAAGAAACTTCTTATTACATTAGAGACACTATCACCGAGCTAGTATACAGGAAACGCTGCCCTAATATTTTTGCATGCGACTCATTAGTCAAATGGTTTCAAATGCGACCCTAATGCGACTCATATACGTAAAAATCAGTCCGGATACATTAGTCGAAGAAGAAGCAAACAACTACACAGATCTTGTAGCCACCCTTCATCAGGAGGCCTGTTTTGCAGGATAGACCATGCCCCAGTCGACGACGATCTCTTCCACGTTTTCCTTTGCCTCTTATAGTCAGAAACTGTCGTACTCGAACTACAGATGAATGGGTCTAACCAAAGAAGTCCAAAACTCGGGATAGGACCTTATACTAAGAACACTAATAAAAAGCTCTTCCTATTCGCTCTTTTCCATTTTAAATAATGCAATTTATCACTAACAGACATATTACAGCCTTCTTACGCCCAGAAAAGAATTCAGTTATGCAAGCAATTACAATTCTCAAGAACAGCATAATAAAAATAACACCCAAGACTGCATAATTGAAGACACCTGCAGACGCAATCCAGCGCCACTCGCTATTGCTCCAACAACGACATTTCTCGGATTACACAGCTATCAAACAAGCTAACCCTATATGTCCCTAGTGGGATCGTGACCACTCAAGGCATATATAATATATCCATTTCAGGAGCAGACGCAATGGCGAATGAACTGACTCTTTTTCTTGAATTCTTCAATTAAAGGCATAACACAAACTATTCGAAACTTTCAATGTCAAGTTTTCCCTCAACAGCTTCTCGGTTGTCATATACAATTGCCTTGAAACGTTTTTGCCTATGGTCACTTTTTTGCAAAGCAGATATCACTGAATCAACAGCGCAAGTCGCATGTGGAACGCAGCTATTTTCTCTAACATGCCCAAAAAGTGCCACGTACCATCATGTTCTTTTGTTTGTTTAATACCGCTCAGGTCAATGGGACGTGTTAAGCCTACTGCGGGACACATACTACCGTATTCGAACAAAAAGAAACACTCAATTATGTCAATGGCAAAAACCCGTTGCCGAATATTCGGACTATTCCGTAAAACTGGACCTACCGCATTTCTTTCACTTTCTTCAGACAGGCAAACGATTCTCTTACACTCGCTCACTACCCTTTTACTCCTCATTACCGCACTATCATTCAAGTATAATCTTCTTTTCCAAAACACAACAAGAACAAGGAAGAATCCTTCCATCCATGTTCTCGCCACGTCATTTCCCCTTCTAAGAATACTGGTTCTTATCTATAACTTTCTCAAACTAGCGATATTATTATATTTATATAGCGATATTATATTTATTCTCCTCTTTGCCCCTACACGGTCAATCGCACCATCACTACTGAAACGCTAGAGGGCGTCATCGTCGAACGGCACCACTACACAAACCACATCTCAACTATAATACTATTAGGTAGGAAATACCAATGGACAAGACAACACCGACTTCATAGCCATATGAACACCTGACTGAATAGTGATACATCACCTACCTTCTGGATATTGTATATTGTATGAGTTGCTGCGTTTCTGTTGGGCGTATACTTTGCTTTTGACTAATTCTACGTAATATACGATTGCAAGTGCAACCTTGTTTCAAAAATTGAAGCAATCACCTAAACCAATTCATAGGCGGTGGGGAGAACGCAGACGGCAAAACCTGTGCGTTTCCATGAATTCTTTGCCGTGCGGAGCGTCATGACTCTTCTTCATGATTATGAGCGATCACGCGAACACCTTTACTATTCAATCAATACCTCCAGCGAAGATTCAAAAATGCGGCAAATACGCAAGTTCTCATATCATAGTTCAAAATGCCGGATTTTCGTGAGCTCCCATACCAAAGATCGAAAAGCGCACCGGAGCCAGTGTATAAGCCGCTCATTTTTGGGGTATAAAACCCCTTGTTTGTACCAGTTCCTTCTGGGGGTTCTTGAGGTTCGGCGACTCCGGAGCTCGGCGGTTCCACAGTCGGGGAATGCTGCGACTCGATCCAAAAGAGGACAGACATAGTCGTTCCTACGACAATAACAAGAGCGGTGCGATACAAACAACTCAATGGAGGAAAGCAAAACGCAACGACATGTCGACCGTCGGCTCAAAACGGTCAATTCCAAAGACGGAACAATTAGTATTGCACAATCGCTTCAACTAACTTTGTCATGATACAAGAGTGTGTTCCTAACTTGTTAATACAATAAATGATATGATGTCATTATGATAAATATCTTATCATTCGTGCATTCCACCACCGATCCGTCGAAACACCAAGGTCGAGGTATTTTCCCATCAAGCCAAACCTATACACCAGATGGGCAGATGCGCAATTCGGCATTCTTCTCAATATCTTCATCTTCATTACCCCACTTTCATAGAAAATTGTAGACCTAAAATCAAAAAATTATTTTAGACGATTTTACATATAAAGAGTTCAGCAGAGATCTCAAGAAGTGGTATTCTGATGGTACTATGTCCGGACTTCATAGATGCGTGGTGGGGCCTCCCATCCATGCTCCAGAAATTTTTGACGAGTATCCAAAGATACGTTTGATCTGGCTCTATCTGAAGGAACCGCCTTTACGATTGGTCAGCTCTGAACCCTTCTGGTCTATCACTGCCTCATCTTTGTCTAGCTGTGTGGAGCCTCTTAAAGCACATTACTTGCATGTTTATCATTAGGTTATGCGGCAACTGTTCATGTACGACACTTTACATCATGAGTTATGCATGATTCTTCTTTTGAATCTACATTCATTACCGAATCACAATGCGAAGGCGAAAGAATCATCGGAACCTCGAGGTAACCACCGAATTTCGAGAGTATAGATCTTTTCGAAGCTCTCTTGTAAGCCAGTTCTTTGTTATTCAAGGACTTACAGGAGTAGTGAACATTAGAGCTATCTCTATTATATTCAATCGGCTTTTTCTATTTCTTTGAAAACATGTTATGTTTCATTGAATGGGTTCTGGTAGTGAATAGGATTTAAGGCAACATTTTTGAGCTTTTATTTATAGTACGAACAGTTTTGAAGCACGGAATAGTGCTTGAAGATAGGCCACACATGTCCGTGAATGTTCAGGTTCAAGGATGGTTCCAACAACTACACAGAGTAAGAATTTAGCTTGAGGAATGTCATAGAAGTCTGGTGTACAAGTAACCAAACTAGTAAACATAACGCCAGAGTTTATCGGAAGTCGGACACAGAGGATAAAGGATAAGGTTTCTGGTGTTAATCTGAGGGATGCGACCCCGCACTCGAATTCCATTCAGAATCGCAGTAGCGTAAAGAGTGTGTGTGTGGCCTACACAATGACTCACTGTGGCCAGCCGATGTTCAAGTCAGTGCATTTATCCTCTCGGACGAGTCCGGTGCTAATTAACCGACCTCAGAAGGGATGGAAGGCTGGGTTGGCCAAGGCGGATACCGATCCGGGATTCGAGCCTCTAAACGTGCGCGTATGATAGTGCGCCACTTGTCACTACACCACCTCCGACCTTGGAAGTCGGGCATGCATTTTTTCAATCGTGAAAAGATGCAGTAGTTGGTTATGAGTTTCAAATTTTGAATCGCGCATTTCGATTGATTTCAATTCAGAAGCATAACGGCAGCTGAATGGGTTTTAAGCCCGTGAGCTAATGATTGATTATAGTGTGAGAAAAGTTTAGAGGAAACTAAGCGTCTAAACCTTCTTCCTTTTAGAAGTAAATAAAATTTATTTACATGACAAATCTACGCATAATTTGAACGAACATATAGTACTTAACGATATTTGCATTAAAACACTTATTTCAATTCGACTGTATGTAAATAGAGTCGATACAATGTTAAGGCAACTTTCATAATCCCGTTCGAAATCCACCTACCATCATCATAGTAAGGAGAGGCATATTAAATAGATTCTAATACTTCGTCGAAGTACTCAGTATAATGTAACCAACGATACTCACGACTAGAAAACAAAGGAGGAAGATATTCTCAGAACAATATGAACAATGGAACATGTGTACGTGGACCTATGGTTACCCGAACGGGGTTAGAAGGAGAAGGAAAGCTGTTTGATGAAACCATGTGCAGTGCCGTTTCGTCGCACGGCTATGTGCTTTCATTGTGATGTTTTTGTGAAGGCTTAAATGACCAGCTCTATAGAACCGAGATCAAACTGGTGGTCCTTTCCTCTAGCGCTTGTCTAGGTAGCCTACAAAGACATCGCAAAAAGAGAAGCTTCTAATGAATGGGAGCTTCCCATTTGATGCATTGCACATGGCTCTGAGAAAGGTTTCTTCCAGTGGCAGTACTACTCAAATGAAAGCGGTGATCAGAGAAGCAGTTTGAGAAGCGAAAGACGACTACACCGAAGCGACATCATCAAATATACCGCGCAGCGGTTTTCTTAGAACATCTACAAGTAATCGACAATTTCGCGGAATTTTACGCTCGGCTCATAAATGCCACCGAAGTACACAGCTGTTGTGGTCCCATGTTGCACCAACCACAAGACGCTTGACAGTTCTCGGCCATCCACTGACGTCGTCGGGTGCAGTAGTTCTGGGCACGCCAAAACGCACAAGAGAGATGTCGATCGTGGCAACCTTAGAGCCGAATAAAATTGAGTAAGCTTTCACTTCGTCATGTTTCGTAGGTTGCACCCACGAATAGCTAAAGAAGGGACTCCCTGTGGCCAGTTCCAGCCTGTTGGGAAGTGCTCCTTATTCTCAATGCTTCCCTCACACGCTACGTTCAACCAAGAATCTACAAGTGTCTCACCTGGTCGGTTATCCGTGGGGTTTGTGCACAGGCGGCAACTCCTCTTACAGTAGCGGTTCATATAAGCCAAGTTCACTGAGCATTCGCCCTGCCTTGCCCAAGCGTCGCAGCATGGATCGTCGTTGTAGCAGTTGACGTTTTCAAATGGAGCTGGTTGCTGAAAAGTAAAGTGTCTCCCGTAAGCCACAGGCAACTTATCCATCAGTTGTAAACCCATTTTGGGTATTTGTGCTAAGTCCCCGAAAGCTTACCAGACTTTGAGCCATTGTGGTTGGTGTACGTGTAGTTTGACGCCTCTGTTGTAGCTGAGCAGCAGCAGTTGGTAGTTGAGGTCGCATAGTTTGCAGTGCCGTTGTTTGAACCTGTTGTCAAGACTGTAACTTATAGTAGCTTTACCGATTACTTCAACAGATAGTGATCTTACAGTTTGCATAGGCTGTCCAGGTCGACACCAACTGGCTATACATTGCCCATTCCAGCAAGCATCCAAGCCCTCGAATCCACGGCAAAGTCCATTCGGTTTCACCTGGAAGGTCCTCGTTTTGTATTGGTGCTGTTTCTGATAAGGGGGTCTTTATGAATCTCAGTCGAACCTTTGCTACGCAGTGTGGGCTTCCTCTGGTATCACAGAACAAATACGGGGAACCACAATTAGGATTCTGCACTGAGCAAGTCGGTCTTGGTGCATAGTGGTACAAGTAGTCCGTGTATTCGTTGGATAAGCCTGAATAGGGAATTCCAGAATTTATCAACAGGGAGTCGTTGCGAATGAGTCTTAAATCTTGACGAGAATAAGAGCTGTGAACATACCGTCCCGATTCTGTTTATCCCATGGCCTCATTTGAGCGTAACTGAAGTGTTGGGAGTTGGCGCACGTACCGATGTCTGGTGGGTAGGCCTGAATCAGATTTCGTATAAACCAAAAACGAACCATTCGCTTTGTTTTCAGAGTGATTCCTTATTAGGGCACAAAGGTCGACCGAAAGGATATAGTCTGGGATTAACTGATCATATAGTAGTTCAATGATAGTGATTTGGGCAAGCTCCTACCTCCTTCTTCCCTTTTTCCATCCATCTACCCCAACTGAAGCAAGCGAATGTTTTGCATTCCGTCGAATGATCTTTTGATTTTTCTTCGAGTGAGTAACCACATTCTAATTTGCGTCCTTGGTGTTTTCTCTGTTTTCCGCCTCATTTCTCACTCGTTACTATCAAATAAGCAGTCCGCAACACGTCATGAGACCAACCGAAAATACTCGACTATATAGCTGGGTGCATGTAGGATCACCGTCATGCCTAATATAGTGCAGTGACTAATAGATTAAATCGGGTCACGGGGAGTCGTTTAGGAGAGGTTACCTTCTTAGAATCTCTATGTATCAATTTATTCAGGTGCACTGCTTGCATAGCACTGCCAATTCGGGCTCCTCCACTTATGAATGGGTTTTCTTATAAATGCTATTTAGGGTATGAGTAAAGCCTTCAGTAGATGGCTTCTCCAGATAGCAATTCCGAGCTTATACTCTACCATGACATAAAACGGCCGGTTGGTAGGGGTGCCCAAGCCTAAACGTGTAGGTTGGTAGGGTTGTCCAGCCCAAAACTGTAGTCTTCTAGTGTTTCTGCACCCCTATAAGACATGCACAGTGATCGACGCTCTAGAAGGGTGTTCAGGCGCCATGGCTTAACTTCTTCAAAACTTTTAGAAAAGGGACTTATGTCCAAACATCAGCGCAATTTAAAGTAGCGAACTCACAGTTTCACGTGAAAATCGATTCTGTCGGGTTTGCCTCCACATTTCCCATATGAAGTCAACAAAGCAATGATGCAAGAAGAAGACCGGATCGTTTGCAGAAGTACTGGGTGGTTTCATATCACCTCCAATCCATAGATGAACTGACGAATGAGTGTACTCCAATGCTCCAAAGTATGGTCGGAATGGGCATCCTTAACGAGAATTTTTTCGTACAACAGAAGCTTGATAGAGGATTATTCAAAAAGCTCGAATTTTTGCTATTTGGCCTTCCATACTATACCACGTCCTCTGTTACCCCTTTTGGGCAGTTTACAGTTTACAGGCAATGATTCTGGACTAAAAATATAAATAGTGAGGGCACTTGACTTGCCCATTACCCCGTTTCTCTATCATACTCTTTTCACGGGTGGCCATAATGGTGTCTGGTTCTTCTAACGCTTTCTAATGTGTCCGATGGTGGTCGAATGTGAGGTGATCTCGACCTTTGAACAGTAACCAGCCTTTGTGAGTACACGTAGAAAACCAGTAGTCTGCCTCTGTTGCCTGCCTTTGCGCCGCATTGTCGAATTAGCCTTGCATGCCAGAAATAGAGGCACTTGTAACTCTCCCGCAGTTACCTTCACGTAAAGGGAAAGTCGCTTGAATGCCGCTCTATTTTAGGCCCATTAATTCGTTAAGGGTTTCTAGAACGTACCATTTTGTGGTGCAGTGTAGGCGAGAACGTTCATTATGTCTGTTTGACTCAGCAGGTTGTTTATATTTTGTTCGGTGAAGAGTTTTCCCTCTGTTGCAAGACGTCTGAAAACATACCAAATGTTCCTCTTACTCTTAAGCCATGAACCAGTCAGTTTGGACTCACCGTACGATATTAGGACGTCCTTCAAGGGTTCTGAAACCAGCGAATGGTCCCCGAATCACTTGTCCAGCGTTATCCGTTTCTCCCATGAACATTGGAGAAAACATTATTGAATCACGTGGATCTGGTAGATACGAGTCCATTACAGAATCCCAGTATGGCATTGCAATCCCGGGATCAATCATGCGGATAGCGATTTCAAGCCTAAATTTCAGGCTTGAGGATACAACTCCTAAGGGAACTGATAGGTCAAGTTTGAACCTTTTCATGTATTCACGATGCCATGGGAGGAATCCTGGACCAGAGTGTGCTCCAGAGGATGACCCGACCTTAAGAACAATTTGACTGAAGTTGTACTTAATATTTTAGCCCTCGACTTTTCAAAATTTTAAAGGACGAACCTGTCGGTGCATAACGCTGAGACGATCATACTCTCCACTACGTTTCAGTTGAATAATTGCATTGTTCCATCTGAAAAAGGACGAAATTCACGGTAAATGAAAAAGTTACCGACAAATCAGGAAAATTTGCTTTTCTGGGCATTCACTTCTTCTTTCAATTCATATCTTTTTGTAGCGTATAGAGAAATAAACAAAGTAAACAAGTAAACAATTTTTTTTGTATCCTCTGCGCCTACGTAACATACCGCATAATCATTGACTGACGCTGTGTAATGAACGATGCAGATTAATTTGGACTTTGTCTAGATTTCACAATTCCAGGGCCTTGACCCGATTACTGGTTGGGTCTTTTGCAAGGTAATCCAATTTGTGCAGGCATAACTCCACCCGAAGTCTTTCTCCGTGTAGCTTTCGCAAGGGTTGTCAACACTGGCCAGATAGCGGTTTGCCTTACGATCAGACGATGCCTCTGACTGATCAGTGGTATTTAACTAGTTCTTCCGCTGCTTGCAAGTTTAATTTGACCGATCAAACTCGAGTAGGCATAGTTAACGCTCTAGTCGTCCCTGAATGACAACCTCCCCGAAAAACTGCCAGCATTCAAGGCAAAGGGAAACGTATTGAGCAAAAAGCGAACTGATGAAGAGAATTATACGGTACGGCACATTCAACGGCATTAGTCAAGGGCATCTACACTGAAGACAGTAATGCGCTCTCCACGACACAATGGCAACTTGCAAAGAGGAGCAGTTCAATAGAATTGCCTTGAACAATAACGCTAATCCACTCCAAAAGTTTTTCGGTCGGATTAAATGATTGACCGCAAGGTTGAGCTCCTAACGATGGATTTTCTTGAAAAAGACAAAGAGGAATTGAAAGAGAGATAGTCGACAGAGACCAGAAACCTCCACTTTCCCTCAAATGTGTTTTTATTCAGTTTATAGCCATAACGAAAATAACCTGAGCTAGAGATTGAGGCGCAGAATAAGGAGATGCCACTGCCTTCAAACATGCTGTACTAGTGCTTTTCCCAAACGGCCTACGGAATTTTAGGTCGTTATGGGCGGGGCGCGCGCTAATATGGGCGGGGTTTGCGTATGCGGTCTGCTAGTCTACCAAATACGGCTAGTGGAAATTGAAAGTGCTCCAATGTTTCTCTCTTGAAGGCGAGTCACTTCACACTGTTCCTTCTCATCAGAAGAGCTGGAATGATTCCAAGAGTACAATAAGTGGTCAGAAACTGGGCTTAATGTCACATCGACAGGCATCTATTGGCATCATGGCATCTATTGCATTCACTGCGCAACACTTTTTAAATGCTATCAGGCAATCTATGATTCTTACCTGTTTCTTTCGTTGTCTGTCATCATTCTGTATTCCTTTCGAAGAGCCATCAGGTACGGCTGACCGTTTGGCAAAATGCAACCATTTCCTGTTGGACGTCCCTGAACAACATGGTTTTTCTACCGATCGTATCTTCACCTCCATTTATAATGTCGCCACTCTGGGACCTTACGTGAAAAATCAAAGAATTGTAAGTTCCCGATAAGGTTAAGAATCCGGTTTTGTTGAAATGTTGCCAAACAGAAATTCCTCCGATTGTAAGTAATAAATCATTGTTGCAAAAGTGCTTGGTGTGGTGGCAGCAAATGCCGCTGCTTCGAGGAACTAGGAATCGATTCCTGCCGAACCAATTTGACTCTTCAGCATTCTATGCTCATTTGATTGAAAGCTTGTTCTTTTGAAAGTCAAAGAGACTAGTTTGAACCGGCTAGCTTTAACGAAATGAGTTCAAGGGGCATTCCAATCCCCTCACGATGCTAAGGACTCGCCAAATGTCTGGCGCATTCCAAAAATGTTAACCATTTTTAAGCGCTTTCCCCTCTGTCTCAAGACTCAACCATTATCAGCGTTACTCAATGACGCAGTTTTGAACAAAATGTATGCGGCTGTCCATTACAACCATGTAGTCGCTTAATATGGCCGCTAATGATACCTTACACTGGTGCCCGTGTACATTACACAATCCCATGTGATTCCCCTAAGTTTCTCGCTACATTGAACGTATCAATCACATGCTTTTGAACGTTCACTTCATGGTCAAACCCAACCGATCATTGTTACATATGATATCAGTAAGGTTTGTGTATAGAAGCTATATCATTTTTAAGTTCTCATTGTGGCACATAATTTATCAAGAAAAACGCCTACGATCAAGAAACCCCAGGCTACAAAAGCTGGATCGTAAAACCATACGGTTGAAGGAACTGCTTATACACGTAGAACGAAGCAAGGGCACTACTCAGAACTTATTGGTGAACAAATGTAAACAATCTCGCCTCCATATAAAAGTTGTTAAGGAATAATAGCTGCTATTTCTATTTATTTTTTTAAAACAATATGTTTCGATTCCTTGGGCCGAGATGGTCTAGTGACAAGTACCGCACTATCACCCACGCGTGGTACACGGTTCGAATCCTGGATCAATACCCAATTAAACCTTCCCTCGCTGTAGGGCCATAATTGATACCAGAAAATCAGGGGGTTGAAAAGCACTGATTTGTGTATCGGCTGGCTACCGAATTCACTTTAGGGGCGGCACATATGAATTCAAACCGCCACTAGATTCTGATTTAAAGAAAAATGCGTGGGTCATCCTAAAAACGGGATCGATCATCGCTGAAGCCTATTTTTCCTATATCAAGTCTTTTCATTGTACTTGCTCACCACATTCATACCTTCCTGGCTTCCACTACTTGTAAGCCAGAAAAGGAGACGATATTCCTTTCGTTTCCCGATAAGCGCATAAGTGTGCATGCAGAGTTCATTTGGCAAAGTTCCAAACGACAGCCCGGGGTATCGTTGTGAAAGCTTAACTGCCAGACGGAACGAGTGTCTAGGCTTTTGAGTTTCACTTTGTCGAACTCTGGTATGAACATACAGTTCTCAGCCGTTATTTTTATCATCTGATAATCCCACCCCTGAGATCACACATCTGTTCGCTAAACCAGCTGGCCTTATCAACACACCGCTAAAAGAGGTCAGAATTGAAATGATAAGTTGTCAGTAGTTACCTTGCATCCATCATTATCTGATCTTCAGTCCTAACGATAGCGGAATCACGTTGGATTTCGCTTTTTACAAAGCTTTTACTTGAAAGTAAGTATACAGTACTGTATAGTGAATTAAGGTATGAGGAAGAAGCGGTCAGCATCAGTAAACCCAGTGATGATGCGCCATGTACTTTTAATATTATTAGCTCCGTATCCGTAGAGTATTTGGAGGCCATTACGATGAAGGCTTCACCCATGAAGCACGCATCACCACGTTGGGACAAAAGAGAGGATCTCGCGATATCTGATAGGAATAGTACAGTGGATAAATTAGCGGCTGCTCTAGCTCTGTCTGCACCCCAACGTTCAGAAGTATCTTGTGGCTCCTACAGTTTGAGCCTTATCGCTTTCAACTAGCCTGATGTAGTCAAACTGGATTTTGAACGGGCCTGTTGGTGTGCAATGCCGAGCCATTTTAGGCATGAATCAAATATGGGGAAAAGGCATCGCGGAGGGTGAAATACCGAAATCATAGCATCTATGGTAATCAAAAAAGAAGTTTCGATGAAGAGCATCGTAACCCATCATTCAGGAACTATCCACCATCATGGAAACCCTCCAATCATGGTTTTTGATGGTTTTAAATCGTTTTTCTCAATGAATTACCAGAATTGCTACCTAGAAAGGCATTCAGTGGACCATAAGCGGATGATTTATTTTATTACCTGAAACCTCCCATTGAAACTTCCCTATGTCAATAAATTTTCCTATATTGAAGTGATTCAAAATTAGATCCGCATCAGAAAGGAGATTTTTAGGACGATTCCGATTTTCAAGTGTTTAGGTATCTTCTTTTTCGAGAATGGAACTACTTGGAAGTGGCGATCGCTTCCAATTTTGGGATTTTTCGGTCATCGGGTTTTTTCGAGGGTAAAGTAGCTTTTCTGAGCCGTGCTTTTTCTAAATAGTCGAAAAGTTGTCCTGATCCCTGGGACAGTTACAATGACTCCTCAATCGGGAAGTGTTTCAAATTTTCTTCGTGTTATACACCGAGTCATCGCTTTCATTCCTATCGAACTGTATACGTAGTAACACTCGTTAGTGACCACCATTGACAGCTCAAAGCGCTGACGTTTTCAGATCGTATCGATGTATGATCGCTGAGAAAATTCATTTTGAAGGAATTCCTCGCAAAAAGTTCGGATCAAAGATGCAATCACGAAAGTTGGTGATAGACCAAAGCCAAGTGGAATCGCTACAAATGTAGCAACCCAGAATAGGACCCCGATTAAAACCGCCTGGACAATTAGGACTTTATTTCCTCCGTAATAGGACTGACACCAGAATTCTCTAAGAGGATAGAAGCACTGACTTTGTATTCCCAGGAAGTCAAGGTAAAGTCCAAGAATGTCTTCCATGGTCTTCTCAGGTAATCACAAATTAGCAACCAGTGGCCTAGATTTAGAAGCCACAGGTTGCAGCCTAGTGAGTACCTAAGAAGATCATGGGAGACATTCTATTAAATTTCAATGGGCTACGCATATTGAACCTAATTAAAAGGGTAAGAATGGGAAAGGCTCTTCAGGGATAAGCCAACTCCGAACATTTCCAAATTCCTTCGGACTCACCCCCATATACGGACAGATGCACATGATGTTCATGCAGCCTTGGGCTGACGGAGCGAATCGTTGCGGTATGGCAGGACTGAAATTCGGGTTGCCTGGGATGCCAGGTGCACCTGAAAATGGTGAACCTTGGCATATGGATGACAGCGGGGGGGAGGAAACTTACCGATGTTACCTTCGAATGCTTGACGTCTTCGGATGGCTTTTCGAGCATTTGAATCCCATTCTTGAATCATCATACAAGTTGTCTGCATATCTGAAAGGAATTCAACTCAATGGCTACTTCTGAAAGGCCCTAAAAAGAAAGTTGCGAAGAGATCTCTAGATAGAAGTTTTCGAACAGCAACTGCCCTAGCAGGACACGAAGGTCCATGGAGGAGCTACTCTGAGGCAGTCACCCTGAAACTACGAAATCGAATGCATACCTTTTCCAGGAGCTTGACTGCAATTGAAATCGGCTTGGACGGCACCAGTTGCCCACAGGATCAGGGCAAACAAGTACCAATACATAGTTACCGTCTGAAAACTATGGCAACTTTTGAAAGATTACCCAGTCACAAACAAAACAACAACAAATTACGTCAGACATTAACAACGACGAGAGCGAATTCGATACAAGGACGTCTGGAATGGCGGTGATAATCTTGGGATGGAACTGGTAAGTTTCTGACAAAATGAAAAACCATGGCATACCAACGTGAGGTCATGACAGAGGACAGCCAATGCCACTACAAGCTGAGGGGCCGACACCGTCGGTGAGTTCAAGGCCAGCGCAAGTGTCCGTTGAATGGAAACGCTGACGTTTAAGCCTGTCTCCCCGTGAACTTGAACACCCTCTTCGCATTAGTTATTGATTTAGTAAGTAGTTCTTCATGAGGAAATAGTATTATGATCCTCGGCTTTGGATTGAGGCATTGAATATTCAACTTGGGATACGTCATGCATAAGGAGTTGATTGAAAATATGGCAACAGTTGCGCGTTGTGTTTGAGTTTCACTTACTATACCACAATGCTGAGCTGATCAAGTGAGATCAGTTTGTTGAGAGAAAGTCTAGCCGGACTCAATTAGGCTGTTCTTTTGGGTCGATCAGGAAAGAGCCGTGAATTTGCTAAGCGACCCATTTGTGGAACAGGTGGAACTGCATGGGGAAGCCAGGAGAGCATGTGATAATCATCTTTGACTTCTTCTATATAGATTAATTTGAACTAATAAAATGTTTTAATTTATACATTCAGTCTAGGATGCGCCATGTATTCTGCTGCAGCCTGAAATTGTGCAGCGTTCGGAGTGGCCAGTTCAGGCTATTTCTGAATAATAAAGAAAACCCAGCCAAGAAAGCACCGTTAGAAGGCTAGTCGATAGTCAAGACCTTTCATGCACTCAGCCCATCCTAGCTGTGTCTATATATAGATAACGGACGTAAATCAAAGCGACCTGTCTCCACCAATCTTCGCAAACAATTGAGTATTTTTATCCGACACCAAAAATGAGTCCAACCAGTAATTTTAGAAAATTGTCCAGGTGATTTTTACGAGTTTTTTTCCTTCTGTTGATTTTAGGAAAATTTGGAAACCGGTCTTTCGGCAATTTCAGAACGTCGTAGAATTCCACCTAGATGGAAATTTTTCGTCAAAACCCTGTCTTTATAGTTGAAAGATGTCAAAAATTCTCTCAATGTCCCCATTAAGTGGAGCAGTGAACGTTCAGGGGGGACCTAACGATGGGCGTTTTATGACACGAAATTGGGAATCGAATTCACTAGCGAAAAAACAGAATAATACGGTCATGCTGATAGGCTGTTTTCTTCCTGTTTGGTTATTTGTCGAAAACCCTATGGAATTTGGTTTCTTCAAGGTCAACGAATGGTGGCTGACGCACCGATTGTATCATTGGAGCGGTTGGCGACGAAGTAACGCCTAATAAAACTCATGTTGACAGTCAATTTTTTATTCCCAGTGGTTTTACAGGTATTTCAAATAAGTTTTGCCGACGTTACGCGGTACGTCCAACTTCTTTTTGAAGCATGAGTGTAGGTGGGGGGTCTACACGACATGAACAAAGTCTTGGACTGAAGTCAGGCCATACAAGTACTTAAAGGTAATGCTAGAGAGTAAATAGAGTAACTTTGACACCAAAGGCTTGGTGGCCTACAGAGACAGTTTCAGCGCCAACTATCAAACAGAAGCATGACGGAACATAACGCCTGGAAAAGCTCCATCCTTGGGTCTGTAGGCGTTATGGCATTCGAGCTACACTTACCTGTTATACTGTCCATCCCATCGAGGCTAGTTTACATGATTTTCATCGGTACTTTGAAAAAATCCCAGGCGGGATTACGAGGAAGAGTGAGGCCCACGACGGAACCTCGGATGAAAGCGGAGCGATCTAGTAGTAAAACCTTTGTTGCGATGTAGTCCAGAGTAGATCAGAAGCAAAAATCTTGTCCAATATAAAAAGATGAATGCATGGCTCACTCCATAGCGGAAGGTTCACGTTGGCAATTATTTCCTTCACTCTGAACCCCAAAGAACAAAAACTATACCTTGCCAGTTTCCCTTAGTACCTTCAACAAGAATGCGGATCAAAATATCCCGACAGGGTAATCCTTTCGCTGTCAACGTTGTTGAACTGGAACGAATCGAATTCCAATTGTTGAACGGTTTTCGCAAGAAACTGTACCGAGTACGGCGTGCTAAAGATGTTTGCCTCCGAAATCGGTCCAAAAAAGTAAAACAGATTTTAAAAATTTTGGGTCAACGGTGATATATGAGACAGCAACGCGCAAAACTTTACAAATTAATGCCTCAAATAGATTTCTTACCGACGTAGAGACATAAACATAGGGACAGCATAGATTAGTCGATGGCTGCCCAACTGACTTCCAAAATAGGTCAGCATTGCGACAGCTGTTACCTTGACTGGTACTTCACTGTTCAAAAACAAAAGATTGGAGGTAGAGGGGGCCAGTCGTGGCCAGTGATGGGCGGTTACCTGGTATATACAATGCCTTGTCTGGGAAGGCAACTATTCGATTAATTCGTTTTGACGCTTCTAACAAACTTTGGAACTCATAGAATATCGCCAGTTTTCTCGAAAGAGCCAAATTTGAATCCAGTTATGACTGTCTAATCTTTCCACTCCAAAGAACCTTGAATGCAGATTTCTCGAGCTACCGTAGCGACGTCGGAGAAACTTTGAGGTTAAACCCACAGGTAGTTCAGTGGAGTCACGTACTGCACCTCTTTTTTGGTTTTGAGTTTCAATGCGGGCCGACGAGCCGAGACCATTTTGGACGACATGAATGACCTTTAGTGAACTGAACGATTCGGAACTACGTTTGCACGGGCATTTTCGTCAATGATATAACCCAATTGTTGAATGATTGACGATTTATTACGATCAGATCAAACCGTTCGGAATTCTCCCCACATTGGTCGTTCATTCCAAAGTACATGCGGTTGGCGAATTAGGCGGTATGGTAAATAAAAAGCTAAGCTCCCAAATAGGGTAATCGAATCTACTAATGTACTGATGTTGTTTAGGATGGAAATGTTACTTGTTACAATGGGGTTAAGTAGCCGCCGCCTCATAACTTGCTCGTTAAGTGTTTATTGTCAATTCTGTAGGTAAACCTCGCCTGTAGTCCTTCACCCAACCATGGTTCAGGAATCGAATCCCAGATCGCCACTCGCCAAGGCTAACTAAGCCATTCATCCCTACGGGGTCGGGTAAATAGTACCAGACACGTCTATTCAACTTCTGCTCACTGCAGTCATTGTATGTACAGGCCACATATTCATTCAAAAACGTCACAACGTTCCGTTCAAAGTCGAATGCGAGGCGCAGTCCAAAAAGGAGGTGACTGGCTTCAAAGACTTCATGCTTTATCTCTCACCTCAGGAGAAACTGTTCTTTCTAAACAGCAGAGCTGTCAGACAAAGGTTTTCCTGGGTACCATAAAGGCAACAATCCTATCGCTACGTCAGAGGCTCAGTTCCTGAACTCATCGCCCTGAGATCAAGTTCTGAGTTGAAAGCAGCCGAACCAAAACAAGCCTTCGGTTTTTTTTGTAGCCATCATTCTCGCTAAGGAGGAAAAAAAGTCCTCAAGATTGCACTTTACAAATCTTTGTTTTTTGGGGTCCTCCCAATTTTTACTTAACGGCGATTCTAACCATCAAATAAGAGTTTTTATTAGTCGCTCTTGAAAGCGAAGGCTGATGAGATGCGCGTTCATTCGGACAAGCCTAACCAGTATAGCTTCAAGGGCTTATTACACCATAGCGGCTACACAATCTTTCATAGTCAGCCATGACCCAAAGACTGAAGTTCAGGGAAGAATTCGCTATTTGATTAATTATCGACGACGTCACACATGTTTACGATTTCTGCGAGACGATGTGCCCATTTCGATAGGCTCCATTCGATTAGAGCCCTTATGGCGCCCTTCAACCGGGAAGTATTTTTGCTACAGAAAAAGATAGAAAGGTTCTAGTCAATCAAATTTGTAGGAAAATGAATATAATCAAGTTACAAGACTGACCTCTGCTTGGCTCCGCAATCACGCTGTTCATGAGATGTTCGTCGCAAAAAAAGTTCAAAACCATCGAAAAACCAATCGAAGGATTATCATGATGGCAGTTAGTATCTATAGAATGATGGGTAGCTCATCATCAAAACTTCCTAGTTGACTACCATAGATGCCTTGAGTTCAGAGTTTCACCCTGATTCAGGTTTACAGGATGCCTCCCACTACTCCATAAAGTACTGAAGAAAACCTTAAGAACTTTGGGAATGTCTCCCATATTTGGTCAAATAATTCTTGAACTCCTGAACATCCATGAGATCCAAAGAGTCCATGGAACGTGTCGTTTTCCTACTGAGTGATAGGGTTCCGTGAGAACAGAAGCCATCCTGAATTTACGGATAAAACGTGAGCGGGAAAAGAAGCCAGGAGCTCATTTCGCATGATACCACACGCCCATTGTGATGCACCACGCCCATCGCTGACACACGATTAGCGGCTAGGTTTCGTGGCTTTGTTTTCTGGAGCGTCGTTGGCCAGAAATCCGAATCCTTTCGCTTATTAATTGCTCTTCTGCTTCCCTGCCCTCAAACGCTAGGGAGGAGATAACAGAGAGCCCTCCGCTGAGGTTCCTACTTTTCTTTGATCAACCTCTACCACCTGGCACTTCTGTAGATCTCCATTGGCTTTCTCTGAAGCAAAGGACCGTTGAGCTGTTACTTCGAAAGTAGCGAACTCATTGCCCCATTCTACCCACGTGCCATTTCCCCTAGATCTGAAAGAATTTTTTGGAAGAAAATCTCAGTGAGAAAGTCTGTTAAGGTGTACATGCGGGATGATACGAAACGTGCTGACCTCTGAACTCTTCGATTAATTCGCCAAATTAGCCATTAGGGAGAAACGTATCGGAGACTTGTTGTAATGGGCAATTTCTTCAGGTAGTATAGCTGGTAGTAAAACAATAGGAATGCCTTCGTGAAGATG